AATATATACTGCCCAATATCACGCGTGATAATGAGGCATTCTTCACTGCGGTTCATTTTCGGATTTCTGGAATTAATCCAGAACGCCTCGAGAGTTTTGTGCGCTTGTGTTCTTGATTCTTGTGCGAGGTTCGTGACACGTACTTCAAAGTCATCCCCGTTATGTCTCTGGGTCCTATGCGTGCCCAGTGGGGTATTTGGTTCACGTTTGCCGACTAGGTGTTCTTTTATGCGGACACAGAGGCCTCTTTCCGTTTCGCCAATGTATTCGTCTCCGCAAGCTTTACAAGAGAACAGATGAACTGTACCCGACCTAATGCAATCACCATCTCTACTATTGGGGCAAAACATGCAATTTTGCGTTGCACATAGACGGTCATAAAGGCGGTTACGAACCAGCTGGCGGCTATGATTATTCGGTGGCATTTCAACTACATTTGCCGAATTCTCTAAACCCGTCCTTCTTAAGCAGCGTTTTATAGCTGCACTTACATCATTTGAGATGAAGGGTAGGATAAAGGATGGAGATGAAACGCAAAATAGTGCGAACACCACCAAGTGGGGGCCCTACCAATAGCACCATTCCCTCGGCCGTTCTTTAGACATCAAGGGCTCAATAATGAAGTTTATGTTAATTTTCGGTTGTTTGCGAATGAAGCTCTCAAAGTTCTAAATCACTATCGCGCGAACAGATAGAGCTCAAACCTCACTGAAGTGCGAAAACGTGGTATGCGAGAGGTACGAGAGCTGATAAGGTTGAAAACCATAAGACTTTCCGTCAGTGATAAGGGTGGAGAGTTTGTCGTAATTCCCCATCAGTTAGATATTGAATTAACGAAAAAGCATCTTGAAGATGCTTCGCTTTATCACCCATCATCTGAGAAGGAGATTAAAGGTAAATGCCGAAAATTGAACCACGAATGGGCCAGAATGGCAAGGACTGCTGGTTTAAAACCATCAGTTATCTCTCAACTAAAAGTTGACTTACCAACATGTCCCGTCTTTTAATTGCTTGTAAAAACTCATAAGTTAGTAACCAGCTATGATCTTGCATCTACCGGTCCATCACTGTTTAAGGTTAGACCTATCATTAGCTGCGTAGACGGGCCAACAGACAGGATAACATGGTTTTTAACCCTGATATTTAACCAGTTGTTGAAACACATTCCAGCCCATCTTACGAATACCCAGATGTTTCTGGATCGTCTACGTACTGCGCAGCACTGCAGCACTTACGTGATGGAGTCCTTCGACGTTACCGCCCTTCATACAAACGTGTCGAATGACTCTGCAATGCAATCCATATTCGAACTCCTCATATAACACGAAGGAGAAATAAACATGTATGGCTTCAAGATAGAGACTTGATGGCACTCTTAAAAAAATTCTTGAGCTGCTCAATCTTCAGATGGTCCGGAAAGTACTACACTCAAATAAGAGGGTTGATAATGGCACAACGACTGGCACTAAGTCTTGCCATTGCATTTATGTCCAAGGTGGCAGCACCGATGACCGATCTCGGGCCGCCACTCTGCTGTAGATATATAGATAACTGTTTTGTCCTTTGCTGAACACAAGAGGAAATGGATAAATGTTTTGAGATGAGATTTTTACTACTTGGCTTTCGGTACCACTTTGTAATGTAGCCATTTTCTGATAGGTGAATTTGTACGTTCAAAAATGGAAGCCATTTTTCTTTCGGCTTTTCTTGGGTGAAGTTGATATACTCTGACTGTGCGTTTAACAATTCGAAGCATTCGTCCATTTCCTCTTGTGTTGAGCAAAGGACAAAGCAGTTGTCTACATACCTACAGTAGAGTAGCGCCCCGATATCAGTCACCGGTGCTTCCACCTTAGACATAAATGCAATGGCAAAGCTTGAAGCCAGTCGTTGTCCCATTGTCAACCCTCTTATTTGAGCGTAGTACTTTCCAGACCATCTGAAGATTGAGCAGCTCAAGCATTCTTTTAAGAGTGCCATCGAGTGCTCTATCCTGAAGCCATACATGTTTATTTCTCCTTCGTGTTGTGTAAGGAGTTCGACTATGGCTTGCATTGCGGAGTCATTCGACACGTTTGTATAAAGGGCGGTAACGTCGAAGGACTCCATCACGCACGCGCTGTTGGGCTGCGCAGTACGTAGACGATCCAGAAACATCTGGGTATTCGTAAGATGGGCTGGAATGTGTTTCAACAACTGGTTAAATATTAGGGTTAAAAACCATGTTATCCTGTCCGTTGGCCCGTCTACACAGCTAATGATAGGTCTAACCTTAAATAGTGATGGATCGTTAGACGCAAGATCATCGCTGGATACTAACTTATGAGTTTTTATAAGTAAGTACAAGACGGGGCATGTTGGTAAGGCAACTTTAAGTTGAGAGATAACTCTTTACTGAGAGGATGACAGCGCAAACTTGACACATAGGTAGGACATTGCAAGTCATTGAACAGGCCAGACAAGCATTCAATCAACCATGCGATGATTGAAGTCGAAGGCATGGCGTGTCCATCAGGAATTGATCAGCGTCCGACGCTTTATTTCATCCTTATCATTATCGTCGTTGTAACACGACAGTCACTGTTCAAGCGAAAAGAGTGCTTGATGATTTTCACAGTTCAAAAGGAAATGCGTGGCTTCGAGAGTGGTCAAGATCACAGAGGATATAGTGAAGAGTGCGAAAAAGAGTAGATGCGGCGAAACTGTTCTCTACTCCACAACTCTTCCTAATTTGAAGGAAAGAAGGTTTTCAGCCTGCGTAATCAGGAAGAAAGATCACTTATCCTTATCCGAAGAGCTATCCAAAAGATGACGTTAGGAGTGCCACATACATACATGCGTATTGACCACAGCCGGTAAACATGACTGGCTAGCGGTTCGTACGGAATGCTAAGCACGTAGCAAAAAAAGGATCATTAACATGATGGCCAGATTTTTTCACGAAAATCCTGGTAGAAAAATAATGTTCTTCTAGTCCCTAGTGCAAGCACGGCTCACAACTTTGCTCATGGAGGCCACAGAGAGAAATCAAGGATTTGCTAACGCGTCTAGTTACTGAACGATTAATGGAAGGACAGGTACACAAGTGAATATTACTGTGCGAGGTCTCGAGTTGTGGTACGCCCCACTACAGTGGCTAGGTAATTAAAGGAGCCAAAGGTGCATGTTCGTTAGGAAGACGAGTACTCTGCTTCAAATTGTCCTATGGTTTGCATACCACATCATCGAACTATCACAAAACATCGTCCTCAATTGGTGGCCCAACCAATCGCACATTTTCCTGCTGTCAAAGAATCCGTTTCGTTAGAAGAAAACTCTTAGAGCAATAGACTCCCTACCAATCCACAATAGCTGGAAACTTTCTATGCTTACAGACTGAGAACGCCAGAGCAAAGCAACGTTATCCCTTGTTTTCACGGCAGATTGCTCTCAACTGGTCATTAACATGGGAATGAGAAAAGATACCAGATTTCCATGTTGCATCCGAAGCCACATCCGAGCTCGACATTCTTTTTGGATGACGATCACAAAACAATGAAAGGAATGAAAGAAGTGCATGGATCCGCAAGATCCAACCAGAGTGAGTACATATACACATGATCCTATTCATGCGTATGTGAATGGATGTTCCTAGTGTTCATGGATTGTATACTGCATCTCGGTCGATCTTGCAAGCATATAACTGGAACTATACAATAACCAGTACGGCCTCACCTCTAATGAGTACGCGCGACCACTCAAAAAAATATACGACTCTATGCGTCACCATACTCATCTGTATTTTTCCTCACGGAATCAATGAAGATAGTTGGCCCAATGCTAGAAGTGTGATGCCCGTCGTGTTCCTCAAGTAAACAAAGCTCATTAAACAGCTGTGGCATGCTGTAGGAACGGAGGCAAACTGTGTTAGTGTCCGTACAACATGTTTTTCACAACGAATGTGGAAATGTGTCTATACGATCAAATTGTGGTGCATATAGTTATCTCTAAGATATATGTCTCCTGCTGAAATGTATGCTGTCCACAAGTGAAGGGATATGCGTACACTTTGGCGTTCTTTCCTTTATCAGATGTTAACATCCTGCTAAAGTTAGGAATAAATCCAGCCTTATGTTTGGCTTCGCAACTCAACATAAGGCACTATAATGCGCGAATGACATCTTCTGACGTTCATTACACCTATGATCCTTGTTTTGAGGGCTTAGATGAAGGTTGGAATAGATCGGAAAAAAAGATCAGCCACTCTTGAGACCAGTACTTTGCTTCACAAAGTTTTAGTCTTGTAGAGATTTGTTCCAGTCATATTTCTATCACTTCTTCTAAATGGTAACCAGTTCTCTTTTGAAAGGATAACTTTTATTTAGTCGAAAAAGTAGAACTTTGTTGATTTCAATGACAGTAAATGCACGGGATCACTTATAAGTCCATTCTATGACACGAATGAAACAGCTACGTGGTGCTGCAGTCTAGAAAATGGCTAGCTTCAACTTTTCCTTCAAAACTCAATGAATGATTCAAATAGTGGACAATGAACTAAAAGTAGTTGTGTTTAGTGAACATATGAGGTAAACTTTCAGTCAAGTTTATTGCACTATCTGGATAAAGGCTATGTTTACTATCTTAACTCTTTTATTTACTGCCTTTTTCTTCTTAATGGCAGGGTATGTTGTGAAATATAACTCGTATGAAGTGCTGAGATATCTGCAAAACTCCGGACCACAGGTGTATGCAGTGGAGAACGAACACGCGCTGTTGTCCATACCGGGGATGGTGTCCGGGTCCCGGATGGTGTAGTGGTGAAGTGCGCTGCTCCCCGGTAAGGACAACGCGCGTGTTCGTTCTCCACTGCATACACCTGTGGTCCGGAGTTTTGCAGATATCTCAGCACCTCATACGAGCTATGTTTACTTTTCATTTTCCACCGTTCATGCATTCTCTACCCCTTTCCTCCTTGTTCTCTATAATTAAAGCACAAACTGCTCTTAATTTTAGAAAATACAATGTGGTTTCCATATTTATGGTTCGTCGTACTCACTTTCCGGTTATTTTGTGTTTCTGCACAATCCATTGATGAAGAAGAAGCACTTCATTCGGTCGAAGGAAGTGGAAATTTTGCTAGCGATGATGAAGACATGGAGGTAGGAGGGGTTTTTGTAGCAGAGTTTTCAAATTTGATCTGGAACCTGTATTTTACCTCGGTTGCAACAGCCGGAATGTGTCTTTGAGACATTTCATGAGCTGTAGACGATAATAAATTTGGCATCCTTTTTGAATTGCTCCATATAATTATTATAATAGATTGCAACAAAACTGGTGGCCAATTTTGAATAGTGATTTCACAGTGTAAGAACTTGACTCAAAAACAATCAGAGTGGTCATCGTTGGAATACAACTTTGTTAAGAAAAAAGTACATATTTATTTATGCTTAGAATGTTTAACCTCTGAAGGCAACTTTTTCTTTGGAAGCATTTTTTATAGAGTTTGGGATGGTAAAGTTTTCCTAGGCTCGTAGTCGTCCAGACGCTTAAGGGAAGGTGTAGTTGGTTAACGACAGCATGACTTTCTCATGTCAAGCAGAGCATGGTAACCCAATTCGTCCGTCTTCTGTAGCGTTAGTTGAGCGACCTATCGTTGCACGTTGGCGCTATACTGTCCTCGCCTATGTGTTATTCTGTGCGACTGATATCCACCAACTAACTGAAACACAACGAAAACGGCTCTGAAGAAGACCAAACTCCCGAAACGTCAGCTATTGTATCCTAATAAATTCTATAATAACACTATCTCGTGGCTGCTTATTGAAGAAAAACACCGAATTATCAATTAACAGAAAGTCGGCCTTGGGCATTGCTTCGAAAAGTGTAAAGATTTTTCAAATAAAAAAAATAAGAGAGTGACATAGAGGGATGATGATCGCTTGTCGTCGTTAAGGGTTCGTCACTGCCTCCGGACGCGCATTACGCGACGACGCCGCCGGTCATGAATCCGCGAATCACCCAGAACACCACCACGACGCGTCGAGGACTCGACGCGACCCTCAAGTACACGACTCTTATCAAATTACAGCGGGTTAGCCCTTCTGCTTCTTTCTTTCTTCATTCTTTGACTGTCATTTATTTGCAGATCTGTTTCTAATGACAAATTAAACATAACAACCTGGATTACTTACCGTTAAAAAACTGGCCGTGGATAACAATTTACTCAGCGAGTTTCACCATAGTAGTACTCTTTTTTCAGATTACAACTTTTGCCACGTCAACTCCGCCAGGAATCACAAACACTAAGTTGAATAACACTTCATTACATAGAGGACTGCTCTCCATAAGTACTACAGTCATCATTTTGGGATTGCTAATAATCGTTCTCACTGGCATCATGATTGCCATCATCTGTTTCACATGTTGCAGTAAGTTAAATTCTCCAACTATTTCTGCTGAGTACGTCCCTCACCTACCACATTTCCCTCTCCTTGCCCAAAAAAAAGAAAAGACCTGTATTCCAGCGATCACCATAGTTTCCTAAATTTCTTTGCTAAACGCGAACTAAAACTGAAATAATTCCTATGATGCTGAGATATTTGCAAAACACCGGGTCACAGGTGTTTGCGGTGGGAAATGAATGCGCTATTACCCTTTCCGGGGACTAACGCCTTCACCACCACACCATGCGGGTCCATCGTTTCGGCTGTCTCTCAGCTAGTTCTACCAATCACTGCTAACAGCAATCACCAGTCAGCGGGATTGATTGATTAACTGGGTTCATTGCCAATTTGGGCTTACCAGATCAAATTTGCTGACAGGTGATTGCTGATGGCACTGATCGATAGTAGCTGATAGACAGGTTAAACAAAAAATTCGCCTGGTTTGGTAGCGAACGCGTAAGCCCCGGAAAGGGTAATAGTGCGTTCGTTCCCAGCTGCAAACAGCTTCGGTCCGGAGTTTTGCAAATATCTCAGCATCACAGAAGTTATATTTCGCAACATACCCTGCCTTTAAAAAGAGTAGGCAGTAAATAAAAAGGATCTTCAGTACTTTTCAATGATGTTCTGTAACATCGTAAGTTCCCTTCATGGAAGAAAATTAGCCGAATTTTAACTAAGATCGACCTGGAAATTACCTAGTACCATTACACAACGTGCATTCTACGCTCATTTGTTAGACCGAAAAGTTTCGCGATGTTTAGAAGTTTGCTTGAAGAAAAAATTCAGAATGACGAAAATCGTTTTGCGAAATCTAAAAAAAGCTTTATTGTTCATAGCTTCATTCAGTGAAAGAAACGTATGCTAAGAAAACTGAGTGATCGATTAAGGTGTTGCAAAGAAGTAGAAGTCGTACTCGTATTTAGAACTGGTCTAATAAACCCTCAAGATTGAACTGAGTTCATAACGAAATCAACTTTTGGTCCACTAAAATGGCAACACGATGCGCAGATTTAAAGTTCTCTCATTTCAGATCGAACAAAAGCGTATAGACCCGGTGAGCATCGGAGGTCAGAAGCCCTTCTCAACTCACTGCAGTCAAGATAGAGCAACCTGTAGAAGTAAACCAGCACTTAAGCTATATATCACGGCATAATTTGCAATAGCATGTCTCATGACTTCAGTTGGAGTTCTGTTAGTGTTTGGGTAGGAACTCTATTTCCATACTAGAGCTCATTTATGAGGTTCATCCTTAGACAGCATCCAGAAGCTGTTCGGCTGGCCATCATAACTACTACTTTCGGAGCACTGCACGAGTCTTACTTTCACTTACTCGCCATTTTCATCACTCCCGGTATTACGACACTCAGTTATCCACATCTGTCATACTGCATATGTTGCTCAAGTTTTCATTATGCGTGAGTCTCCAGGATTACTTTGGTCACTCTGCTGTCACTGATTGCGCTCATGTGACACTAATGCTAATAGCACCATATAAATTTTCAAACTGCGCAGCACAGTGGTCTCATTGTTTTGATTGTGGAAAACTATTCCATAGTAAGAATTGAACAGGCGTTATTCATGCCATAGGATTTTATTTATGAGGAACTCATCCACATCTCTTTTTCTTAAGATAATCAATATTAGGTTATTTTCATGCGGTTCGTGAATTTCGCAATCAATTTTAATCCAATGAATTTCACTCGCAATGAATGAATTTTACACATAAAAAGAGTACCCTTACGTTGTTTTCACGGTTCGAAGAGTCACGAATTTTGATGGAATTTAGCCCTAAAAGGAGCAATTCATACGAACTTTTTTCTTCATGCTTAACATCGAACAGCAATTATAAGAACAACTGGGTGTGATTTATTGGATAGGAAGTCCGACATTTCACGCACATTAACAAATTCCTACTTGTGCCTGGTTCCATACGATGAATTCTCAGTCTTTAAAGTAGTTTTAAAGTTAGGAACTTAACTTAGAAGGGATTTTTTCCCATTGCTATATATTTTCTCTACAAAATATTCTATCACTGTCTTCACTTTCTATTCACCGCCTATTCTCTTTTTTTTAATGCAGTATATTAAGTGAAGTAAACTGTAATGATGCTGAGATATTCGCAGAATTCCGGACTGCTAGTGTCTGAGGCGGGGAGTTTTACAAATATCTCAGCATCATTATGATCGTATTCTATCAACCTTAAATTTTCGAGTTACTTACAAGAAACCAGGAAGGAAGCTGAGATTTTTCAAATTCGGTCGGAAAATTCCGCAAATAAGCGCCACACCCTGAGTATTACCGTATACCCTGGGGTGAAAGTGAATTCAAGGATGATACGGTGCTGGATCCTGTTCTAACTAACTACTTAGTGAAGAAACTGCTAAGATAGTAATAAACTAATCTGGTTAAGATGTTAGCAAACTCACATTCTACTAGACTGCGGCGATTCAGATTTTCCTAAGATCAGTGTACACACCATTTTTTGCTCTGATTGCACAAGGGAAAATAAAAAGTTGCTCTAATCAAGTTGTGTAATGAGTTGGCTAGAGAACTGTCTTCAATGTTAAACGTTTCAATGAAAATTGCTTGTAATCCATTACCTAAGGAGCAAGTACAGGTTTCAGTGCATTGAAGAGATTCCATGAACTATGTAAATATTTTGCTAAACAACAAATCCTAGGTTAAGTCTACGGTTTAGCACATTCCCCACTATACCCGTCATATACGTCTCATGCATGGATAGACATATTCTCTTCAATTTTCTTTTGTCGCATAAACTCCCTGCGATGTATTTCATATATACGACCGATTTTGTATCCAATATAGCCCGACGAAACTACTTTGATTTAGCGGTTTTGATAACTACCCAGCTTTCACACTGGAGATACACATCTTTGCGACGGAGGATGTCATGGGTGCCTATAAGGAGTTGATGACGACAAACTCAAAACTTGAAATCAAAACTGCGCTATAGGAGCTTCTAGAAAGATTCTAGAAAAACTCATCCCTTACAATTGATTAATTTTGGCTAGGAAACTACTTTCCGTTTATAAGTTTCAAGCGAAACGGCTTCAAACCCATTACCTAGAGTGCAAGTAAAAATATTTGATAATAACGATTAATGATGTTATTGATATGATATTGATATGATATTTGATATTAATGATATTACTTGATTCTAATGTGAGAGAGACTAACGGACCTCCTTCATATGAGGGATCTCGAGCCGGTTAGTCGCGAGACTACGTGGCGTGTCCCCAGGAGGCAGATAAGGGGTTAATCGCGGACCAAAAGCGACCTTTGCTTCCCTGAGACGCAGGTGGATCTAGGGATGGATTACCTGTTTCTGCTGCGCCGATTTAGCACATAACTTCTCTACTTGCTAGGCGTATTCAGGCATGCGTGTGTGGGTGCGTTCTTGCCTATGCGGATTGTATTCTACGAGCCAATTCGGCCAAAAAGCCTGCAATCAAGTGACTGGGAAATATATGGGAGGCGGCTAGGAGTCGCCTCCAACAAGTAAGCTTCTTCTGTACTCCGGGGGAGCCTGGCAAGCTACCTGTGAATATACTCAGCTTCTTGTTCATAGCCCAGCAAGCTATACGCGAGTATCGAAAATGCTAAATACAGTTTTAAAAAAATGAGCCTCATTCCTCTGATCCCGAAAGAGCCCCTAATTTCGCAGCATTGGGTAGGACGAGTACGGAGAGGCTGCTAAAATCTCAGGGCCAATGGAAGCTCTCCGGATTTCAATAAACTATGGTGACGATCTGTACCTACAATGCACGTACATTTGCATCCCAATCCTCGACGATAGAAGACTTGCTCATGCAAGCAAGAAGGATAAGGTACGACGTCATCGGGCTGGCCGAGACGAGAAGACGCCAGCCTTTAAACGCGGTCTATGACACCGGAGAAGAGCTGTTCCTTGGAACATGCGACAGTAGAGGAGTAGGCGGCGTTGGCGCTCTCGTCAACACGAGTCTGTCCACGAACATCGATTCATTCGAACAACTTACAGCTCGAATTGGACGTTTACTATTAAGAAGACGCGGCTCAATTCAGGTTTTGACAATCCTCGTCGTTTACGCGCTGAGGTCAAGCTGCGACGAAGAAGATGTCGAAGCGTTCTATATGGACTGAGAGAAGTTCTACAGAGAAGACCACACATTCTTCAAGGTCATCATTGGAGATTTCAACGCCAAGATTGGACCAAGAAAAACGTCTGAAGAAGGTCACTTTGGGAGCCACGGTTTAGAATGGAACGAACAGGGTGAGAGGCTATCTGAGTTTATCACGACGACCAAGGCAATTCATAGTAACTCGCAATTCCAGAAGCCCCACCCTCAACGCTGGACGTGGGAGTCTCCCAATGGAGCGTACTATAACGAAATAGACCACATCATAGTAAATAGAAGGTTTTGCCTAACCGATGTCGCTGTTGTCCCAAAAATATACACGGGATCGGACCATCGTCTCCCTCGTGCAAGATTGTATTTCTCGCGGAAAGGAGAAAAAGCCGCTAAATTCCAAAACCGAAGTCCCAGAAGCACCGTAAACTGGGATTTATTCAATTAATTAGTCAGCTGCTTGAAAGATGCTGTTGTCGATAACATCGACGAAGAATACGATCGGCTTATTCAATATCTTCACGCTAACGCTATGAAAACTCAGAGTTCGGAACTCAGC